TTGGGCGACCCTGGCACTTCAGCAGTGCAGGATGGCAATGGTAAGCCTCGCCGCAATAAAAAATGTCGGAACAAGAAAAACGACACGGACGATACGGCCGTCAATGCCAGATTCCGTGGTCCTAAATCCGGTCAGCGGAAGAAACATTTTAAAGGCAACAAAGATGGGCCATCTAGCTTGGATAAAATTCTTGAGAGACCCTGCCAGATTCATGGTACATCTGGTAAGCCTGCGAATCACACCAACAAGAACTGTTGGGTTTTCAAACAGGCCGGTAAAATAAACACCGAACACAAGGGAGGGGAACCCCCAAGCAAAGACGATGATGAGCCCCTTCAGCCGAACACCGGGGGTCAGAAATGGTTTCCCCCCGAGGTGAAGACAGTCAACATGATCTATCTCACTCACATCTCCAAGAGGGAGCGCAAGCGCGCTTCGGGACGTCTACGCTGTCGAGCCTGTCGCCCCCAAGATCAACCCATGGTCATCTTGTCTGATCACCTTTGATCGCAGAGACCATCCAACCAGTATCCGTCATGGAGGCTCGTCCGCCCTAGTTCTCGACCCAATTATTGATGGATACCACCTCACTAGAGTCCTTATGGACGGAGGAAGCAGTCTCAACTTGATCTATCAAGATACTGTTCAGAAGATGGGCATTGACCCCTCATGAATCAAGCCCAACAACACTACTTTTAAAGGAGTAATACCAGGCGTGGAAGCCAAGTGCACAGGCTCGCTAACACTGGAAGTAGTATTCGGCTCCCCAGATAATTTCCGCAGTGAAGAATTAATCTTCGATATCGTCCCTTTTCGCTCGGACGAACTGCTTTCGCCCGCTTCAATGCGGTCCCACACTATGCTTACTTAAAGCTAAAAATGCCGGGACCCCGTGGCATCATCACAGTTAATGTTAATACGGAGCGCTCCCTCCGTACCGAGGAGCACACCGCGGCCCTTGCAGCCGAAGTATACAACGGCCTTATTAAGCCGAATACATCGGCAAATAAAGCCAATAACATATCTAAACGAGTCCCGCCCAGCAATAGAGCAATGGGACCAGACCTCGATTAACAGTTCAGCCTCTGACGACTCCCCCACCAGGTTCCGGTTTGTGTACCGCGCGTACATAATTACGCTGAAAAGATGGCATATATTTGAAAACGAGGCAGCGCGCAGACACGTCGACGGCATTATTCCAATGGATGAAGACCTACTAACAGACTGTGCACTAAAATGTCAAAAAAGGATCGAAATGCGGAGTATCTATAGTGTCACGTACACATCACGAAATGTCAGGAGTATTACTTGATCTTCGGATAGCATACATGGAATTGCAATTAAAAAAATAGCTTGAGCTACCGGTCCATGTATTATTTTTCATCCATTATATACATGGTTATGAGATCCATTATATATTAAAAACAGATTTCCTATTTCACATCTAGATGTGAAATAGTTATCTCACATCTAATTTCCTAGCCACATAATTTAGACATTAAGATTAGTATTTCTTTGTTTTTTTATTGATTGATCTTGTTCCTGTATGCATCACTCACGCCGGGCATCATGGCAGTAGGCCGTTGTCTATCAATTGATGTTGCTCCTCCTACGTTGCCTCCTTGTTGGCTGTTGTGGCCACACGTGAACTTTTTTCAATCTTTTTTTTTGTGTTTTTTCTTGTTCAAATTCGTAAAAAAAAAAAAGAATCATGATTTTTTTATTTTTTTTCACCTTTTCACTTTTCCTTTTAAAATTTTCATGCTTTTCCCCATTGCTATTAGTTGACTGTCCACCATTAAACAAGGTTTGTATTTTTTGTCCAAGTTGCAAGTCTAACCTCAACTTGCAATGGGGGTCAATCTTCTTTTGTCATAGTTACAACCCCACCTTCGACCCATAACTGGACTTCGGCATTTTTTGTCTCAGTTGCGAGTTCATCCTCGAATTACAACTGGGCTTGAAACTTTTTTTGTCTCAGTTTTAAGTTCAGACCCAACTTATTTTTGTCCCAATTGCAAGTTCACCCTCAAGTCGCAACTGATCTTGTTTAGTCTCAATTGCAAGTCCACCCTCGACTCGCAAGTGTATTTTGTCCTAGTTTCAAGTCCACCGTCAACTCACATCTGGACTCGACCTTTTTTTTCTCAGTTGATAGCCCAACCTTGATTTACAACTAGGGTCAACATTTTTTTTGATTTGCAAGTCCACCGCCGACTCGCAACTGGGCCCATTTTTTTTGTCCCAGATGCTAGTCCACCCTTGACTCGCAATCGGGGGTTGACCTATTTTTGTCCCAGCTGCAAGTCCACTCACGACTCGCAACTGGGCCCAATCTTTTTTGTCTCAGTTGCAAGTCCACCCTTGACTCGCAACTAGGGGTGGACCTTTTTTTGTCACAGCTGCAAGTCCACTCTCGACTCGCAACTGGGTCTAACTTTTTTTGTCCTAGTTGCAAGTCCACCCTCCACTCGCAATAGGGGCACGGTCTTTTTTTGTCCCAGTTGCAAGTTCACCTTTGACTCGCAATTGGGCCCTGATCTTTTTTTCCCAGTTGCAACGCCACCATTGACTCGCAACTACGGCCCGATCTTTTTTTTCAGTTGTAAGCCCATCCTCAACTCGCAACCTGGGTCTGACTTTCTTTTATGTCCCAATTTTGCAAGTTCATCATCAACTCGTAACTGTGGTATGACTTTTTTTGTCCGAGTTGCGACACAGTGGGCTCGTGATTTTTTTTGTGGCACGAAACAAATAAAAAATGCATAAACATTTTTTAATTGTTTTAATTATTTTTTGAAATGGCACAAAGAAATATTTGTGTACGTACAAGCTAGCTACAAGCAGCCTGATCGATTCTTTACTAGTACTAGTTGCTCAATCTAGCCAAGCAATCAATTTGATCGATTCCAGCCCGTAGCGGCTCACCTACACATGCGACACAGGAAATGATTGGATCGCCACAACCACAACGCGGGACTGTGGCCAACAAGCACGTCAACGAAAAATGCGTAAGAGGCTGTAATTTTGATGATGATGAGTACACATCCAACAAACGGAAAAGACAATGAAAAAAGTAAGGTGATGCTGACATCATACTTAGATGTGAGATATTATCTCACATCTAGATGTGATATAGACGAACCCTATTAAAAAACATCTGTGCACATCCACATGAATAATCCAAGCAAAACACTGAGCTGCTATTGGTGAAAAGATGGGATATATTCGAAAACGAGACATCGCGCAGAGTGAGCGCGCAGACACGCTAACAGTACTATCCCGATCGATGCAGACCTACTAACAAACCGTGGAATAAATGTCAGAGAAGGAAAGAAAATGCAGACAGGTCTCTGCAGTGTTACGTACTGCACATCGAAAATCAGCGTAGGCATATTCTCTGGCCACAAGCACGCATACGCACATGGCTAATGGGCGTGTTGCATCACTAACGCATGGCCTTTGGATTCTGATCCCTTTCGGGCCGAACCTTCTTCCTCGCCGGCCGGGGAGATCACATCCACATATTTTAAGGCCAATGTTCGGACTGAAAAAAATGAAGAAATTGTGCAGCATATGGTGCAATGAGACCGGGACTTTGGTAGAGAGTTGAAAACGCGCATGCGCCTGCGCCTATAAATAGTCCTACCCAGTCGCAACCAACACACACACCAAGAGATCGAGAAACCAATCGAGAGTGCAGCCTGACGCAAGCTATATACTCCAGTTAGCTCACAGACCATCATCACGGTCATGGGGTGCAATAGTAGTCTGGCCATGGTCTCCATCCTGCAGCTGTGCTTGATCATCGGTGCCGCCGCCGCTGGCCCGAGCAAGATGGTGAGGCTGGTGCCGGCGATGCACGTGTTCGGGGACTCCACGCTGGACGTGGGCAACAACAACTACCTGCCGGGGCCGAACGTGCCCAGGGCCAACACGCCCCTCAACGGCGTCGACTTCCCCGGCGGCGCCCGGGCGACGGGGCGGTTCAGCAACGGCTACCACGTTGCCGACTTCATCGGTACGTATCTAAGCCATCGATCGTACATATATCAATTCAAGATGCGTCGATGGTCGTGTAACGTGCAACCATGTATTCAGCAATGAGACTGGGACTGAAGGAGAGCCCGCCGGCGTACCTGTCGCTCGCGCCACGCCCCACCGCCCTGCTCCTCAGCGCTCTCGCCACAGGCGTGAGCTATGCTTCTGCCGGAGCAGGCATCCTGGACTCAACCGTATGTTCATTTTGGTCCATCTTTTGCACGTGCATGCTACCTACCATCCACCACGAGTTCCACACGCACGAATGGAGATAAGTGAACAAAGCTAATAATGCATTGCGTGCGTGCATGCATGCAGAACGCGGGGAACAATATCCCACTGTCGAAGCAGGTGCGGTACATGGAGTCAACCAAGGCCGCCATGGAGGCCAGGGTGGGCAAAGCCGCGGCGCGCCTCCTGCTCTCGAGGTCCTTCTTCCTCTTCAGCGTCGGCAGCAACGACATCTCCGTGTTCGCGGCCGCGCCGGGCGACGTCGCCGCGCTCTACGCCAAACTCATCTCCGGCTACTCCGCGGCCATCACGGACCTGTACGGCATGGGCGCGAGGAAGTTCGGGATCATCAACGTGGGGCTTCTGGGCTGCGTGCCGGTGGCGCGGGCGCTCAGCGCGACTGGCGCGTGCAACGACGGGCTCAACCAGCTGTCGGCCGGCTTCAACGACAAGCTCAGGTCCCTCATGGCCGGCCTCGCCGCCCGGCTGCCGGGCCTCGACTACTCCCTCGCCGACAACTACAACCTCTCGCAAGTCACCTTCGCCAACCCGGCGGCATCCGGTACGTACTCCGTACCTCTTGCTGCCTTTCCATGGGAGATACGGATGGGTACTTGATTTTTGCAAATACCTAACTTGAACTTCTCGAAGGAAATTAAACTCTTAATGATGAGCAGTTCGTAGTAGCCGGCGCTTGTATTAACCCGTGATTTGATTTGATGGTGCAGGGTACGTGAGCATAGACAGCGCGTGCTGCGGGAGCGGGAGGATGGGGGCGGAGAGCGACTGCCTGCCTAACTCGACGACGTGTGCCGACCACGACCGCTTCGTCTTCTGGGACCGCGGGCATCCCTCGCAGCGCGCCGGAGAGCTCAGCGCCGCCGCCTACTTCGACGGAGCGGCAGGGTTCACTGCGCCCATCAGCTTCGACCAGCTGGCCCGGAAGATTTTTGCTGGCCCGGAAGATTTAGCTAGCTATAGCTAGCTAGGTCGGCACTCCACACGCGCGCATGCTCCTTTACTCGTGCACGTCGCGTTCATCTACTTATTTTTTACAGATATATACAGTATAAAAGCTACTAGTAATCCTCAAAAAAAGAAAAAACCTACTAGTAGATTAATAATTAGCCGTGCAACAGAGTAATTCAGAGTGTCTGAATGCGAAATGTATGTGCAAGCATAGTTGTGATGTTTCGCAGGAAATAATAAACAATACTCGTCAACGTCAGTTTCTCCTGTCTACAAATTGGCCTCTGAAATACTGTTTAAAATCATTTTTGTATGGTGAAATGTCTGAAATATTCTTGATTATTTTTTAGATATTTTTTTGCGTGGAAATATATTTTAGAGTTGTGATCTGGTACGAGCGTTGTGGTTTACAGTCAATCTTAGCCATTGACTTACAACTAGAAACCACCCAATGATGCTAAAGCTAATGCTAATCAAAAACTTAGAGCTGATTCAGTTTGGATATGTTTTAGGACTCCCACATGATCTTCACCCACGAGGTTTCCCCCTATGTTTAGCAATCGTGCCATAGGACTGAAGGCACTAGATTGACGAAAAAGGGTTCCTCCTCGTAAAGGGTTTCTCCTTGTTTTATATTATAAAGCAACCATCGAGTACAAACACAAGTTCAGGTCGAACAAACACTCTAGGGTACAAGAGCCAAAGCGCGGGAAAAAGAAATAAAAGAGTCTAGCTGGGGCACACACATAACAACCCTACAACGATAAAGAGAAGGCACACTAATCCGGCTCGGGAGGCGGTGGGGGAGTCGAAGGAGCAAGACACGAGGCGAATGACCAGAGCTCGGCGATGATCCTATCGATGTTGTCTCGAGCACGTCGCTTGCTAAGCGGTCCCCAGTGCTGTAAGAAGCCACACATTTTATAAATTGCGCCGACCACGACCGCTTCGTCTTCTGGGACCGCGGGCATCCCTCGCAGCGCGCCGGAGAGCTCAGCGCCGCCGCCTACTTCGACGGAGCGGCAGGGTTCACCGCGCCCATCAGCTTCGACCAGCTGGCCCGGAAGATTTTTGCTGGCCCGGAAGATTTAGCTAGCTATAGCTAGCTAGGTCGGCACTCCACAAGCGCGCATGCTCCTCTACTCGTGCACGTCGCGTTCATCTACTTATTTTTTACAGATATATACAGTATAAAAGCTACTGGTAGAATAATAATTAGCCGTGCAACAGAGTAATTCAGAGTGTCTGAATGCGAAATGTATGTGCAAGCATAGTTGTGATGTTTCGCAGGAAATAGAGTCAATTTAGCTACAAAAGTCACTTTAGTGCTGAAACTTGTGACATACATTGAACGGGTGCTAGAGTTTGGCTTTGGTGTGTATATACGGTGCAAATTACGTTTGCATAAGAAAACAGTGCCGACGAGGTCCGCAAGCATGGCACGGGGCCCATTGTCAGCGACTAGATGATGGAGCCAGGTGTGTGGCCCTTTATTTTGGAGAGCAAAAAACCCAAATATTTTTTCTCGGAAAACCCCTCTCACAGTACACAGAGAACTAATAAAACGAAAAATGCGACCTGGTGGGATCGAACCTGGTACAAGCAAGTTGCAGCAACACAGTGCCAGCTACTCCACACAATGCCTCACTTGATGTATAAACATGTACTCCCTCCGTTCGGAATTACTTGTCTCGGAAATGGATGTATCTAGAACTAAAATACATCTAGATACATCCATTTCTACGATGAATAATTCCGAACGGAGGAAGTAGACGCTAACTGGCCTTAAATGGGCTATACTTAGTGCGGCGCATTTACCACAAGTTAGTTTTTTTAAAAGATATTTCAAGAACGTATGTACAAGTAATAAAAATATTTTTCAAATTATCCCATGTTATAAATGTTATACATAGAAACGACAATTAGTTAGTAAATAAAAACAAATACATGCGTACATTATATTAAAATTGTTATGTGAAGAAAGACTTTTAAAATGTTTATGAATATGAATATTTATACACACTCAAGGATCATATTTAAATTATACAAAATATTCAATAAAAAATTCTAAATTAAACAATATAGGAGTAGATACCTAACTTCTCGAAGGAAATTAGACCGTTAATGATGAGCAGTTCGTAGCAGCCAGGACTCGTATTAATCCCGTGATTTGATTTGATTTGATGGTGCAGGGTACGTGAGCATAGACAACGCGTGCTGCGGCAGCGGGAGGATGGGGGCGGAGACCGACTGCCTGCCTAACTCCACCACGTGCGCCGACCACAACCGCTTCGTCTTCTGGGACCGCGGGCATGTCACGGGCCTCTCGTGATCTAGAGATGGAAGGATTTGGGAGGGAGCTAGAGGAAGAAGGGAAGGAAGAGGATCTGAGATTAATCGAGGAAGAACAGCTTCTCTCGCCTGGTTCTAGTTCCACATATTTCCTGATGACTCTCTCCACGGGCGCAGCCGTACTTAACACACCCTTGCAGCACGCAGGCCACACCAACCACACTGGCCCCAGGCCCACTAGTCAGCCAGCGCACACACACAACCTACTTTACCTCTAGCTCATGCCCAGCTTCCATCTCGTCCACGCTGGCGGGTGGGATAGCTTTGCCAGCCGTGACACTCTCCCCCTCTTGGGTCCGGCTTGTCCCCAAGGTGGCGACGCTGGGAACCGCTGCTGGAGGTTGATCAGGTCCTCCCACTTAGACAGCGAGTCAGGAAGAAGGCTCCATTGCACTCGGACATGAGCACGCTCACCTCCGGCCACACGCACCGTCTTGCGCTCGAGGATCTTCTCCGGTGTGTGTTCAGCCTGCAGGAGAGAGTTATCAGGGGGAAGTTCAGAGCTCACCGGCACCATTGCGCCCTCGGCCTTCTTCAGCTGTGAGACATGCACGACAGGGTGGATCTTGCTCCCGTCAGGAAGTTGCAGCTTATACGCAATAGCCCCAACACACGCCAGGATGCGGTACGGCCCATAGTAGCGGAACGCCAGTTTCTGGTGAGGGCGTTGTGCGACGGAGGTCTGGATGAAGGGTTGTATTTCAGAAGGACCGCGTCACCGACGGAAAACTCCTGATCAGTCCGTTTATAGTTAGCATGTATCTTCATCCGATCTTGGGCCCGTTTGAGCTGTTGTTGCAAGTGCTCTAGCATGACCTCCTGCTACGTCTTGAGCTTGCGTTGGTTTCCTCAAAGAGGAGAGGGTGATGCAGCAAGTGTAGCGTAAGTATTTCCCTCAGTTTTTGAGAACCAAGGTATCAATCCAGTAGGAGGCTCCTCAACAAGTCCCACGCGCCTACACAAACAAATAAAGAACTCGCAACCAACGCGATAAAGGGGTTGTCAATCCCTTCACAGCCACTTGCAAAGGTGAGATCTGATAGAGATAGTATGATAAGATAAATATATTTTTGGTATTTTGTAATATAGATGCAGAAAATAAAGATGCAAATAAAAATAGATTGAAAGCAAATATGATAAGAGATAGACCGGAGGGCCATAGGTTTCACTAGAGGCTTCTCTCAAGAGCATAAGTATTATGGTGAGTGAACAAATTATTGTCGAGCAATTGATAGAAAAGCGAATAATTATGACATTATCTAGGCATGATCGTGTATATAGGCATCACATCCATAACAAGTAGACCGACTCCTGCCTGCATCTACTACTATTACTCCACACATCAACCGCTATCCAGCATGCATCTAGAGTATTAAGTTCATAAGAACAGAGTAACGCATTAAGCAAGATGACATGATGTAGAGGGATAAACTCAAGCAATATGATATAAACCCCATCTTGTTATCCTCGATGGCAACAATACAATACGTGTCTTGCAACCCTTTCTGTCACTGGGTAAGAACACCGCAAGATTGAACCCAAAGCTAAGCACTTCTCCCATGGCAAGAAAGATCAATCTAGTAGGCCAAACCAAACCGATAATTCGAAGAGACTTGCAAAGATAACTCAATCATACATAAAAGAATTCAGAGAAGATTCAATTATTATTCATAGATAAATCTGATCATAAACCCACAATTCATCGGATCTCGACAAACACACCACAAAAAGAGATTACATCGAATAGATCTCCACAAGAGAGGGGGAGAACATTGTATTGAGATCCAAAAAGAGAGAAGAAGCCATCTAGCTAATAACTATGGACCCGTAGGTCTGTGGTAAACTACTCACAACTCCTAAGAGAGGCAAGGATGTTGATGTAGAGGCCCTCCGTGGTCGATTCCCCCTCCGGCAGAGTGCCGACGAAGGCTCCAAGATGGGATCTCACGGATACAGAAGGTTACGGTGGTGGAAATTGTGTTTCGTGGTGCCCCTGGATGTTTTCGGGGTACGTAGGCTTATATAGGAGGAAGAAGTACGTCGGTGGACACCCGAGGGGCCCACGAGATAGGGGGCGCGCTCTACAGGGGGGCGCCCTCCTATCTCGTAGGAGCCTCGGCTGCTTCTTGACTTGCACTCCAAGTCCTCTAGATCACGTTCGTTCCAAAAATCACGCTCCCGAAGGTTTTATTCCGTTTGGACTCCGTTTGGTATTCCTTTTCTTCGAAATACTGAAATAGGCAAAAAAACAGCAATACGGGCTGGGCCTCCGGTTAGTAGGTTAGTCCCAAAAAAATATAAATGTGTAAAATAAAGCCCATAAACATCCAAAAGGGGTAATATAATAGCATGGAACAATCAAAAATTATAGATACGTTGGAGACGTATCACCTCCCGCTCGCGCAACCATGCTGCCAGGTCCGGCACTGTGCATTCCTCCACTTGCGACACTCCAAATTCTCGAGGCAAGTGGTCGTAGATTACCTCAAAGGGTCTCCTCCCCAACGCAGAGTGGTACGAGGTGTTGTACCAGTACTCAGCGAGCGCCAGCCATTTTGCCCAATTGTCGGGGCAGGAGTGCACGGTGCATCGAAGGTAGGCCTCGAGACATTGATTGACCCTCTCGTTCTGGCCATCTGTCTGTGGGTGGTATGATGAGCTAAG